CTTTTGCCAAAGCCGCCTGTCACACGCGGCCAAACCCAGCCATGAAACTCGGTTAAGCCCCCAGGTGCTGGCCTGAGCATCTGGAACTCCGATTTGAAACTTGAGTCTGGGGGTTTCCCCTCGCAGGGTGCTCGGACCCTCCCGCGTCGAGCCGAGCTGCCTCGGCACCGAGGCGATGTGCGGTAAAACGACAGAGCCGAAGGGTTTGCAAACCCATCCCATCAGCTCTTGCAGATGGACCCTTTAGATGATTCTCAAGGTTCTGGACCTCACCAAGGGAAGGAAGAGGATGTTACAGAATCACAGAACAGTCGGGGTTGGAAGGGACCTCTGGAATCACCCAGCCCAACCCCCTGCCCAAGCAGGGTCACCCAGAGCAGGCTGCACAGCACCGCGGCCAGGCGGGGCTGGAATATCTCCCGAGAAGGAGACTCCACAGACCCCACCTGCGGGCTGGGCCAGGGCTCCGTCACCCTCAGAGGGAAGAAGTTCTTCCTCAGGTTCAGCTGGAACTTCCTCTGCTTCCGTATGCTTCAGGTTAAGCCTGCAACAGCACCTCGGTGGGTGTGCGGCCAGGGAATGGGGTGCAGAGGGACCCCGCAATGGTTCGAGCCCCGCAGCCGTGCAGTGCCGCAGCCCGGGTCCAGGGGAGGTGTAGGGGACTCGCTGGGACACACTACGGGTGCTGCCAACCTCCTTACCGTTCTCACCAGCCTCCAACATGCCCTGCAAGTACCGGAAAGACCCGGACTGCTTCGGCTCCGAAACAGGCTTTTCGTAATCCTGAAGCATCTTGTAGACGTCCGACTCCACATCAATCCCATTCCTGTTCCGTGGGAGAGACTTCAAGGGGTCGAGGCTGTTTTAAAGAAAAGCAAGACAGGCTCAAGTGGAACGCAAAGGGCAGTCGTCAGCTCATCAGGGAGGTACTGGAAGCTCCTTCGACCAAACACCTCTCCGTTCCCATGCATCTCCCTGCCCGGGAACAGCCCTCAAACCAGGGGAGCTAAACCCGTTCCCTGTTCAGCTCCGATGGAGCAACCACAGCCAGGGCTGGCCCGGACACCAGATGCCTTCAGGGAAGAGGGCAGCTGCTTACAACCACTGCGAATTGCTCTGCCACACGTGGAATTTATTGAAAAAATGGGTAAAACAATGCATTTCTTGAACTACACAGGGCCAGGGGATCCACCCACCCCTCGTGCCGCTGTTTGGGCACCCGGCACAGGGGCAGTGGGTGCTGCTGCCAGGGACAGGCACGACAGCAAACCTCCTCGCCGTCCACCAACGCCGCGTTTGAAGCCAGCGCTTCTGCAGGTGACGGCATCCGAAGATCCGTTTGCCAGACGCAGCCCACAGCTTAAATCAGAACCCCCTCCCCGAGGCCACACAGCACCGAGGGTGGGACACGAGGGCAGCCCCGTCCCCCCCACCCCCCAAACCACATGCTGACCCTCAGCATCCAGCCCCGAAGCTGCTCCTTGTCTGTATGCGGCAGGACTGGGGTACAACAGACAACAAACGGTAATTTAAAGCATTATTCCAGTTCATTCAATACATCAAAACATGAAAAGCATCGTTTGGAATCAAAAATATTGTGGGTACATGTTCAAGTGTCCTGCTGAGCAGAGAGGAATTCAAGTGCTGCTGTGCTTTGCTGAGGCCCCGCAGCACAGCGTCGGGGGAAGGGGCTCCTTTTCCTTTTCAAGGAGAAGGTCATCAAGGTCACTATAAACCCAATAAAAATAGCAAGAGCCCTGAACGACATCAGATATATTAACACACTTTAGCCATCATCTGACTCATCTTCTTCACCAGCACCATATTCATTCCCCTTTTAAAACAAACAAACAAACAAAAAGAAAACAAATAAAGAAAGAAAATTCACTTTTAAACAAAGGAAAAAACCCCCAACGAAACTCACTTCCCAAGAAAAGCCAAAGCTCTGTTTTCCAGGAGCGACCTGCCGGCTGCTCCCATGGCTCCCATCTCTCGAGACGAGGGGCAGAAGTGCGGGACCGGGGCCGCCGAGGACCCTTCCCCACGCCCCTGGCCAGCCCAGACCCTCCCTGCGTGCCCCGAGTGCCTGCCTGCCCTGCTGCAGCCTCCTCGTTCGTCAGCTCACACATTTTCAGTGAAAAAGGGCAGATTTTCACCAGTTCAGCCCAATGGAGCACAAATTCAAACAGAACGCTCTTCTGACCCAGCTCTGCTCAAGCACCCAAGCTCATCCCGCCTGGACAAGGTCCTGTGCAGCCTGCTGTAGGTGACCCTGCTTCAGCAGGGGGGGTGGACTAGATGACCCACAGAGGTCCCTTCCAGCCCCTACTATTCTGTGATTCTGTGATCTCCCGGCTTTTGGCTCACACACAGACAACGTCAGATTTTCTCCTCCCTTTTTTTTTTTCTGTGGTTCTCTACTTTCCAACTTCATTAACTTTCCTGGAGCAGCACGGGGAATAAGCTGGCTCGCAGCATCACTGAAATATGAATTCGTGCAGGCAGACAGTTCCCCAGCTACAAAGAAACTCTCTTTGCTCTTTGCATTTGATACGGACGTTATTTTCCTGCAGAACATCTTGCCAGCCTGGAGGAGCATAAATCAGCAGCAGCATACGCCATGCGAAAGCATCGCAGCCCACAACCTGGCCTTCCTCAAAGTCCGAGTCATCCACCCAAACTGCTCTTGGCTACACAAAAGCTTTTTCTTTCCTCCGAGCGTTATTTATTCCCAGCCTCCCGGACAGCTGCGCTGAGCAGATCTCACATTTATAAACAGCCCAAGTTTACCGGCGTTAATTTTCTCCACAGATGCCTCCAGCTCCCAGGCTGAGGGGTTGCTCCGGGGTCTGTGGAGGTGTGATCCCCACTGCTGGGAGGGCAAAACCCTTCCCCCCTGCCTTGAACATTCACTTTGAAACTCCAGGACACTAACGTCTGTGACAGTCCTGGCACTGACCCCAGCCTGGGGACCGGAGCTGATGCCGCTGAGCGACCCACCCCCACGGCAACTGAAGGATCTTATGTGGGTCTGGAAAACCGGCACCTTCGCCCGGCTCCGAGGCAAACGGCTGAACATTGCTCCAGCTTCACAAGCTTCAGTTCAGGGCTGCAGTTACTACATACACACGTGGGGCCGTTTTGGTCAGAATTTGGCATCTCCAAACCCTTTAAACCTTTTTCCTCCTCCTCCTCCTCTCCTCCTTTTTCCTCCTCCCCTCCTTTTTCCTCCTCCTCCTCCTTTTTCCTCCTCCTCCTCCTTTTTCCTCCTCCTCCTCTCCTCCTTTTTCCTCCTCCTCCTCCTTTTTCCTCCTTTTTCCTCCTCCTCCTCCTCTCCTCCTTTTTCCTCCCCCCCTTTTTCCTCCTCCTCCTCCTCCCCTCCTTTTTCCTCCTCCTCCTCTCCTCCTTTTTTATTTCCCCACCCACACTTGCATAACGGAGCAGGAGCTACACCTGACATCTCCGGAGCTCCGGGAGCCCCACAGCCCCCCCGGACACCCCCGAAGCCAAGCCTGCAGACCCAGACCGTGGTCCTACCTCTGGGCTGGAGCGATGTGGAGCCCGCTCAGCTGGCCTGGCAGAGCCGCCCCGCAGCCGCTCTGCCCGTAGAGCCGGGTCGGGTGGTGGTGCTGGACGTTCAGCATCTGCTTGGTGTCCATGGGGTTGCCACCAGCCCCGGGGGGCACTGGCCTCCTGCCCTGGGCAGGCCCGTTGTCCTGGAAGAGAAGGAAAAGCAGACAAACCTGAGATTTATCGTTCTTCGTACAACACACGTGGAGAGGCTGCGTTGGGACGTGCAGTTCGCAGCAATAATATTTCATATGCGCTATGGAAAACAGAGATCTGCAGGAGAAGCAAAACTCAGGCTCGACCCACAGTTCAGTCTTGCTGAATCCACGCAGCTCTCCTTGGTCTCTGACCAAATGAACTCGCCTGCTTCTCCGCAGCGAGCCACTGCCAAGTATTCTGCCTTTATCCTCCCGTAAAAGCATATTTGTTATTTCCGCAGAAGCAAGGCTGCGCGTCTGCTTCTCGTTTCGTGTGACATCACTGCGAGAGCACTTCTGGCTCCCCTGACGTCGGGGCAGTCGCTCCCATTTGCGTTACCCGCACACGATGACACCCAGGCTCTGCACCCACGCGTACGGGCTGGGCAAGACCTGAAACCTGGTACTTTCACTCACTTGCAGCTACCCTCGTCCACAAAGATCTGTGTGTGTTCCGGGAGGGTTTCTCCCAAAATAAGGTCAGTCATTTACAGCGTGAGACGCGTTGGTCAAGGGTCTAGCTTGGTATTCACATTTTCATTTGCTTTTTAATTCCCAAGGCAATCTATGGAAATCTTTTTGTCGGAAGACGTCAAGTCAGGAATCCCAGAATCCCAGCATGGCAGGGGTTGGAAGGGACCTCTGTGGGTCACCCAGCCCAACCCCCTGCCCAAGCAGGGTCACCCAGAGCAGGCTGCACAGCACCACGTCCAGGCGGGTCTGGAGTATCTCCAGAGAAGGAGACTCCACAGCCTCCCTGGGCAGCCTGGGCCAGGGCTCC